ATCCTGAGTGTATGATAAAATCTTCCAGGAAGTCCCCCGACCACTCCCCTTTGCTCTGATCACTTACTATTAATTACAATGCTTTATCTCCATGGTCACAACAGAGGGTGGGCTGAAGTTCTTTCTAGGCAGAAGTAATCTTGACCTTTGGAAGGCCCTTCAAAATACATTTAGGTAAACTTGGAATCCTTTCTTTACGTAAAATAGGATTAGGCCAAAACTGGCCCAGGACACCTCCGCCCTCTCCAAGTGAAATAGATAAATATATTAGGATTCCTCAAATTAAGTTATAGATCCCTATAAAACTGTATAAGTATCATTCTTTATTAAGATCCATAAGAACTAATATCTATTCTTGAGATTTTCTTTTCTCAGCACCATTCCCAGTAATCACAAGATGGCTGCTGCGCCGCATCAGCTGATAATCATCTCTGCTTACCGGAACCGCTTTCCCGGAAACTGCATTCCATGGAGACCCACCTACAATTGTGGAACTGCACTAGACCCGCCCTTAATCAAACCCTGAATTGCACTAGACCCACCCTTAATCCAACCCTGAATAGAATCTATGTTCTATGTTCTCTATTGTTAAAAACTTTATGAGCTGTTAATTGAAACACTAGCCCCTCTCCCTTTACTTGCATGTAACACGTTTTCAATAAAAACGCACGATGATTCCTAGCAGTTGTCACTCTTCAGAGAGCGATCTCTGAGGGGTGTCCGGCAAAGGACGTGCATGAAAAGGCATGGAGGCCTTTGTCTTCTGTTCACCTTCGCCACCTCCGTCAAGATAACCCACCCACGCCGAGGTTGGACCCCGGCAGGTCTCTTTTTGAACTCTGAAATTTCTTGGGTGAAAAATAAATCCAGAGGATTCAACTGTGACCAAGTGTTGGTTGTTCATATCTTAAGCCCAGAAAAATGATCCTTGAAGGCAACGACACTGAACTTGTATCAAATTCACCTGTTTTGATACAGCGAGCCATGACAGTCAAAAATAAGACCATAGAAAAATTCTTGATAGTGTCTATGTCTCTGAAAAGGGAACAGCTCAGTAGGCTGACAAGAAAGATCTAAGAGTTCTCCAGCTACAGGAACAAGCTGATGATTTATTTATTTAAAGATAAGATGCCTGTTACTGAGAGTGGCCGGTTGCGGCCGCCATGTTCCTCTCTGTGGTCTCCTTTGCCAAGAGCAAGTCAAAAACCATTCTGGTGAAAATGACAAGCCAAGCTGGGACAGGTTATTCCTTCAACACCAAGAGACACCTACTACAGGAGAAACTGACTCTTCTGCACTATGATCCAGTTGTGAACAAAAAAGTCCTCTTCACGGAACAGAAAAAAATATGCTCCCTCTGAACAATAGGTGGAAAATGAAATTGATTTATAAATGAGAAGGCCAAGCATGGGGATATTGATTCAGAAATCCTGCAATGTGTAATGAAAGCAGAGGAAATGGCACAGAATCACTGCCTCCTGTGATTCAAAGACCATTGTGAAGGAAAGCAATGCAGTGAAAGAAAGTTCTTCCTATTAGGACAGATATCATTGCTTCACATTTATTTATGTTTCTGGATATTTTATAGCCCTTAATAAAAAATTTTTAAAAGATAATAATAAAATAATAATTATTTTTTATAATATATAAAAATTGATTCCAAAAAAATTACAGTTCTAAAGAGCATAGCCTCTGACATCTAAAAAGGATTTCATGTAATTGCAGGGAGAGAAAATGTCACATGAGAAGGAATCTAAAATAATTACTTTTAGATCCTATGTCTACTGCTGTAAAAGACAATGACAGTTGGCATCTAAAATCATATGAATTTCAAATAGATCCCATATGGAACTACAAGTAGTCTCCTCTAGACAAAAGAAATAGGGGAAACTTGAACAGAAGCGGCAGACGGAGAACATAACTTAATATAACAATAACACATGGGTATCCATCGATCTGGCAACTCTCTTTTCACAAGATAAATCTAATCTCTATTTTATGAGCAGCATCTATATTTTATTTAAGTATTGCAGATTGCAAACAAGAGTCCATGTTTTATAAATTTCAGGAAATAAACCTAGCAAAGGAATTGCAAGAATGAGACAAACATGATTATATATGGCTGGCCAAGTGTAAGTTGTTCTAACCTTTCCAGAAAACAAGCTAGAAACAGATTCCAAATGCCTTTAAAACTTACTCATAGCCTTTGACACTTCTCAAAATCTATCCACACTTATTTTTTTTAAAGATTATATTGATGTTTTTCACCATCTATTAGCTCATCAGTAAGGGAATGGTTAAATAAATCAGACTTTCTCCATGTGGCTAAATATCACGGAACCAATAACCATGTTTTGAAAATGTGTGTGTGTGTGTGTGTGTGTGTGTTGTTTCAGACAGTATCTTATTGTCTTGCCTTCCTTCTGCCTCAGCCTCCTGAATAGCCAAGACTTAAAGAACCTTGCTCTTACAGCCAGGGTCTTGCTGTGCTGTCCATGCTGCCTGGCTATGAGCTTGTGATCTTCCTCCCTCAGTCTCCTGCAGAGCTGGGACTAAGGAATGGGCCGCCTCTCACCAGTGACTGGCTTATTTATTTATTCATTCATTTTCAGGGCAGGTGAGAAATGGAACTAAGCGTCCATGTGGCCTCAGTCTTCAGAACGGCAGTGTCTGGTGCACTGCCATGACTGGGTCTGAAACACTTTTCAATATTATTTTTTAAAGCTCATGATTTCTGGTTGAAGTTATTTAAAAATGGGTAAAACGTTAGATAAATGAAGCTATCAGCATTTGTAAAATAAATAAAGAAAATCAAATAATGGTATTTCAGTTCTTGAAACTTCCCACTGCCAGAGAATGACTGCTGTACTTACTGATGAATACATGGTCATCCTGCTCATTCAGTTCATGTAGCACAAGTTAGCTCAACTTCGTCTCTGCAAATATTTAAAAACAGGGAACACAGAGCTATCAGATGATTTTTCCAACCACCTCGAACACTAAAAATGTCATTAACAGCTCCAGATTAAATATTACTGTTCCCATCAATCATTTCCTGTATGTCATTTTGTAGTTATTTTTTAATGTGTATTTGTTCATAATACTTTCTATATGCTCTATATGTGTTATAAAAGTGAGTTAAACTAACCTTCAAAGTATTTGCTGACCTGAGTTATCTAGAGGTTTGTGTTTGAAGGATGGGACAGAAAACAAAACAGAGGACCTTGGGACCATTACAGATAAAGGGTTGATACTGATTTCTGACCTCCCCTTTTATACAGAGTTGTGATTCTTAAAAGGCTATTCTTAGAAGCCATCCAGTGGTTTGGTGGTTAAAGTCACTGGATTCCAACATGGCCTACTGCTGTTTGAGTCCTGGACCTGGCGGCTTGCTTTCTCACTTTCTCTCTCTCTCTCTCTCTTTCTCCCCCACCACCCTAGTCAAATTTAAATAAATAAATAAAGTTAAATAAAATAATTCTTTTAAAAAAGACTATCCCTTTAGTAAAACGAATGAGACAAACTATATACTAGAAAATGTGCTATCTTAAGCTACAGATGAGGAAAAAAATATCCTTTTGAATTTGCAAATGCATAGATCATTCCACGGCATGATGGTTACAGTGGCTGGATCCCACATGGCTGATTACGCAGTTTGAATCCCATATCCAGTGACTTGAAAAACACACTGGGCACCTGTGAATGAATGCCTGAAATTCCAAAAGGAGAGAGAAATGGGAGAGAAGGGTTTACAGCATGTCTATCTCCCATGGGGATGTGGGGGGGGGGATCTTTTTCAATTTCCCTCTTTTTTTCTCTCTCTATTTCAATCTGGTAAGCATATGCATCCTTTGGCAACATTTAAAAAAATAAAGAATTTGCAAACATGTGCATAATTCAGGCAGTTTTAGGAATTTAATTTAAACCACAGGAATGGCTGGGAAGCACCAAGCTAAGAAATACACTTCTAGAGTCACCCTGTCTTCTCCCCCTCCCATCCCCTCCCGCCCACTGCCAGAAGAACCCTGGGTGTTTTGGCAGAACATTCTCCCAAAAGTAAATATGTTTACTGTAACTCAGGAGGCCATCTGTCAAGCAAATAAGTCAGGACAAACATGACCTCACATCTTAGAAAGGTCACAACATTTAAGAAGTTTTAAGTGCTTGAACAAGCACAGAGGAATAAAAAACTGAGTTACCAAGTGAATATGCTTCCAAATACGGGTAAGTTTGAAAAGCAAAGAAATGGTTATAGAAATAAAATAACATAAATCACTGAATTAAACATTCTATGTGGTTTAAATGTAAGACTACAAACAGCTTATAAGAAAAACTGGTAAGCTGAAAAACAGATTAGAATTAATTTTATGCAAAACAGCATACAGAAATAAAGTACAAATATAAGGGAAATAGAGAGGGAGATCAGCAAACGTGAGGGCTAGAATGAGAAAGAAAGGTACGTATGTGTGGATGTGAGGTTGCAGAAGAAAGAAGCAAATAGCAAAAAGGGAAGGGCAACATTTGAAGAGATAATGGTGTTTAAATTCTTGTAACTGATTAAAGACAAATCCTCCTAAATAAAGAAAAAAATTTTCCATAACATAGTAAAAATAAAGAAGCAAACACAAAGAAATCTTAAAAGCAGTCAGAATAACAAAAGATAACCTACAAAGAAACAACCGTCTCAATGCAGATTTTTTTTTTTTAGAGAGAGAAATTTTTACTAGAGAGAGACAGAGAGACAGAAAGTGAGAAGTCACCCCCAAGAGGGATAGCTACACCACAGTCCCTTCTTCCCCATTCTCTTCTTGAGATTTGGGCACTCGTTTCAAGTCTCCAGGTCTGGGGCTCGAAATGCGGTTGCCTTGTGGGAATACAGTGCCTTAACCATTATGCCACCTGTTGGCCCCTCAATGCAAACCTTCGATAAAAATCTTCCAAAAACTATGGTAGGAAAATGAATCCAGCTAAAAGAGGAATTGGTAGAGAAACTGATAATAATTAAACATACAGGTAAATAAATCTATATTAAAAGACTATATAAAACAATAATATCAATTCTAATTTAGAGACCAAAAAAAGAAGGTAAGACAAAAATAATGGGAAGCTGTATAGTACAATACAGTTCATCAGAGCTAATTACAGTAGTTACAGTTGTCAAAAGATAAACCAAGAGACAGAATTTATTGTTTTTAATTTATTTTATCATTTTTTAAGTGAAAAAAAAATCTTAAATACTACTCTAATCCAGGCCAGCAGGTGGTGTGGAGATTAAGGTGACTGGATTCCACGTGGCTGACTATGCAGTTCAAGTCCCAATCAGGAGGCTTAAAAAATATACTGGCAGGGAACCAGCAGTTAGCGTAATGGCTTTGTTGCTGGACTCCCACGTGGTCGACCGCAGTTCGCATCTTGGACCCGGTGGCTTAAAACTCACGCCGGGCGCATGTGCGTGCGTGCCCAGGATCCCGAGAGGAGAATGGAGGAGAAGGGATTGTAGCGTGACCATCCCCCCTGGGGGGTGATTTCTCACTTTCTGTCTCTCTGGCAAGAGCACGTACCCTATAACAAACATCTCTCTTTTTAAAAAATCAGGATTGGGACAAGCAGTTAGCATAATGGCTATGTAGCTGGACTCCCATGCAGTCAACCGCGGTTCACGTCCCGGACCCAGTGACTTAAAACTCATGCCGGACACGTGTGCATGCGTGCCCAAGATCCCGAGAGGAGAATGAAGCAGAAGGGATTGCGGCATGGCCATCTCTCCTGGGGAGTGATTTCTCACTTTCTGTCTCTCTGTCTGTCTGGCAAGCGCACACACCCTATAGCAAAAAGCTCTCAAAAAAAAAAAAAAATCAGGATTGAGACAAGAATGTTCATTATTATCAAGTAGTGAATATTAAAAGTCATGGCAGTTTTGGAAGACAATTAGAAGAAATAAAAACAAGGCAACCAGTCATTATTTGAAAATCATGTATTTGTATCTATAAAACAAACAAAAATCTATAGAAGATTGAACTAAGATAAAAAGAACAGTAACTGTGTGTATGATTAATATCTGAAAAAAAGATGATGCCAAAGACAGCATTCATAAGAAGAATAAAAATATAACATACTAAAGAGTAAATCTAATAAAATAAACATATAACCTTAGTTCTGAAAATTTAAAAAAATAATAATTGAAATCTATTAGACAAGGGCCAGCAGATGGCATAGCAGTTATGTCTCTGGACTCCCACATGGCTGACCATGGTTCAAGTCCTGGACCTAGTGGCTTGAAAATTATGCCTGGTTTATGTGCGTGTGTGCGCAAGATTCTGGAAGGAGAAAGGAAAAGGGATTGCCGTGTGGCCATCTCTCTGGGAGAAGGAGGGAGTGACTTCTCACTTTCCTTCTCACTGTCTCTGTCTCTCTTTCTCCAGGGAGATAACATGCTCCAAGGCAAAAATCTCCAAAAATAGAAAAGAAATATATTAGACAGGGCCAGTAGGTGGCATGATGGTTAAGGCATTGGATCCCTCATGGCCAACTCTGGGGTTCAAGTCCAGACCCAGCAGCGTGAAAAACATGATGGGTGTGTGTGTGTGTGTGTGTGTGTGTGTGTGTGTGTGTGTCCAAAATACCAGAAGGAAAATAAAGGAGAAAGATTTCACACAGTCATTCGTGCCGTGGGGTGATTTCTCACTTTCCCTCTGTCTCAGTCTCTTCTGTCTCTTTCCAGCAAGTGTATGTACCCTATTGCAAAAATTTAAAAAAAAAAAAAAAGTTAGAGAAATATGCTCAGGCATGGTGGCACAAGGGGTAAGATGCCATTGTGCAATACCGGAGGCACATGGAAGACCTCAGTTTCAAATTCTGGGTTGATCTGGAAGGCTGAGGGGAGGATCGTGGTAGGGCAAGACCCTCTGTAAGGTACCGCTCCCTCCCTCATTTTTTCCCTTTCTCTCTCTGCTTCTCTTTCTTTATCTCTTTTTGTTCCCTCTCTGAAGAAATAAATACATAAACTTTACAAATATATAGAAATAGATCAAATACATGCAGAAGACACTTCCACATAGAAAAGATATCTATTATCATCGTAACCTCTATATTTTATGTGAATTTGTTTCAAAATTGTGCCCAAATTTGTTACGCAACTTGATAAACTGGTTTGAAAATGCATATGCAGCAGGTATTGGCCAAGAACAGCCAAAATAATTTTGAAAAAGAAGACAAAGATGAGGGATTTGCCGATTATATAGCAATGATTATTACAAAACAATAATAATTGAGACAATATTATTTTGCCTAAAAAGCAAATGGAAAACTAAAGGAACAGAAGAGTGAGCCTAGAAAATAAAGCCATACACAAACAGAAACTCTGTATTAGACAAGGGGCATTAATTCATCAGTCAGGTAATGAAAATGTGTACAATTCAATAAATGGAGCTAGATTACTTTCATAAGTGTGCAAAAGTGAAATTATGTCCATGCACATTATATTAAAAAATCAGTATCGGTTAAAGTCCTACATAAGATAAAGGAAACTATAAGATACTATTTTATGACTATGGCGCAGAAAGAATAAAGGAAGTTTAACCTGTTTAAGAAGTTCAGGAGTTGGGGGCCAGCAGATGACGTAATGGCTATGTCACTCGACTCCCATGCAGTTGACCATGGTTCGAGTCCTGGACCTAGTGGCTTAAACTCATGCCGGGCATGTGTGCACGCATGCTCAAAATCCCGAGAGGAGAATGGAGGAGAAAGGATTGCAGTGTGGCCATCCCCCCTAGGGGGTGATTTCTCATTTTCTGTCACTCTGTCTCTCTCTGTCTTTCTGGCTAGTGCACAAGCCCTATAGCAAAAACCTCTCCAAAACAAACAAACCAAACAAATGAAAAAAGTTCAGGAGCCATATGATTGTGCAGCAGTAAAATGTAACCCTGTGTAAACTGACACAACAGGAAGCTTCTGGGTTCACATCCAGAGACCACCTTGAAATATGGGGCATGCATACCCGTCATCCAGGCTGCGGGTGGATCACGGAATGGGGACTCCACTCCAGGTGCTCCCTCTCTCTTTCTCTCTCTCACTCACTCACTCTCTCTCTTTCTCTCTTCACTGCATGGAAAAAAAATTTAATAAATAAACTTTAAAAATTATTTTCAGGTATTTTCAAAAATAAACTACATGGAGGGAGAAGACATTTGCAACATATATGAGGAGACTATCTTCTGGCTAAAACTTTATGTGCGGTTTTTCAGGCTGGACCATGTGCAATTAAAAAAGCTTGACCTGGCAGATCTCCCAGGGTAAAGCTGTCTTCCCAGCTCCAGACTTAATGCTTTGCCAGTGCACTGAGTCTCTGAAAGAAATAGCAGTTAAGACTCAGGCTTCCCTTTGCATATTTTCCTTCCTAGTCAGGTGCCTTCATTCCTAGGTTTGTTTATCTGAAGCCTTTTTCAGGCACCTTTGCTGAGACCTTTTTGTAGAGAAAGGAGGGGGAAAGCCTAGAGACACTTTTTCCTACTCAGATTCAGTACCCAGTACTTTTCCATACCTAGCCCTTCCTTTGGCCCTCCCCTATCCCAAGATTTATATAACTGCAGATCATTCGGGTCTCAACAGTCACATGACCTGCTTACATGTATGTTGATTTGACTGACCCTCAATGAAGCTTACTATGGTTTTAGCCTCTTGCTTATACCATGGCAGTCAATATTGGGTCATCAGAAAAATCATGACGCATCTTTGCATATTAAAAAGTATGTCATGACTTTTCCAAAAACCCAATAATTCAAGGCTAGACTCATTTTTGTTCTGTTACCTTAATCAGCTACTCTGACACATGACAACTCAGTTGTTTCTCTCCCCTGATTCATCAGGGCTGCTAACAACTTATTGAGAGGGTTGGGATGTCTTCAAAAACTTCATGAAAAATGTGTATTATAAAACTCTATGTGTGGATTTAATTTTTTCACTAAATAAACATATATATATGTTTAATATATAAATATTTTTATTTAGTTATTTAGTTATAGGATACGTACACTCACAGAAGAGAGATGGAGAGAAAAGAAAAATGAGAAATCATGTCCCAGGGAGGCTGGCCACACCACAATCCCTTCTACTCCATTCTGTTCTCAGGATTTACACACATGCCCAGTGTGTCTTTTAAGACACCAGGTCTAGGACTTGAATAGTGCAGTCAGCCATGTGGGATCCAGCGCCTTATCCACAACACCACCTGCTGGCCTCAATAAACTCATAACTGAATTTCATTCTTCCAAGAACGTATTGAAATGTCTTTGTATAATTGATAAAAGTTTAATACCCAGAATATAAAATGCCTTCATATAAACTGATGAAAGAAAAGTAAAGGAAATGGATAAAGAACAAGCAGTTTGCAGAAGGGAAAAGAATGGCCCATAAACACACTGAAGATTTCTTTTTTTACCTATCATACAAGCAAAAGTTAGAGTTTTATAATATAAAGTATTGCCAAAGATATGTATCAATAGGAACCCCAATCTGGTAGTAGAAGTTAAAGTACATACTATGGAAAACAAGAATCCTTAAAAATGCAAGTGCAACATAAGCACCAACAAACATCGTGAATCTTGTAAATATTGTGCTTATTATTATTAGGAACTGGATCATGTGATTATAAAGGGATAGCCCTATAATCTGCTGTCACCAAGCAGGAGATCTGGGAAAACTGGTGATATAATTCAGTTGAATCCAAACACCTGAGAACCAGGGTAGCCAATGATGTAAATCCCAGTTTGAGGGCAGGCTAAGATAAGATGTGATGTTCCTGCTCAAGCTGTCAGGCAGGGGAAAATGGGCAAACTTTTTCTCCTCACTTTTTGTTCTAATCAGGTTCTTAAGAGATTGTGTGATAAATAATTGCACTGGGAAACACACAGGCTCTGAATACAATATGGTAAAACAATGTAGTAATAAAAGTATAAGCTAGAAAATCAGTCACTTAAAAGTTCAAAACTTCTAAAATTCCATAATGTTTTCATTCAAGAAGAAATTAAACGTACCTTAAAATGTAAAGCTGTAGGCCAGTTCCAAGTCTAGTGGTTAAGGAAATTGGCTCCCACATGGTTGACCAAGGTTCACATTTCAACCCAGAAGCTTGAAAAACATGCCAGAACATGTGTGCCCCAAATCCCAACAGAATGGAGAAATGGAGAAGAGACTGAGGCATGACCACAATGCCCAGAGGGTGCTTTCATTTTCTCTTACTTTTTGTCTGTCTTTCTCTCTCTCTGGCTAGCACACATGTCTTCTGGCAATCAAAAAAAAAAGAAACAACTAAAGTTGTTAAAAATATATATATATTCTTAAACCCCTAAATCAAAATTAATAAAAATTATTTCAGTCTTATGCTAAAAGGATTAAATTTAGCTTAAGTGACTACAATAAAAAATTAAAACTAGAATAGCTTTAGTAGAAAATGTTTTCACATAATAAGTCAGTCAACAAGTCAAAGTCAAATATTTATAATTATCTACTAGAAAACAAAACAAAATTCAATATGTATTACTAAAGAAAATGACTTCACAATAGAACAGAAATGTACTTTGTGCACAGGTTAATTTATATGGAGGGTCTTTAAAAAGTTCATGAAAAATATGTACTATGAGAAAACTATGGAACAGTTTCAAAAATTCTTTGCACCAAAAATAAACTCATAATTTAATCCCATTTTTCTGCAAACTTTTTGAAGCCCATTTGTAGCTGTATGGTATTTCTACTTCTTGCACTAGCAAAGTACCTTATTTCAGACTATCCCTCTTACCAAAAGCTGGAAAAGTTAGGTAAAATATAACATATCTACAAGCTAAGAGAATCTTAGAAGAAAAATACATCAAGGTGAGCTTGACATTCAGTGACATTTTCCCTCCTAGGCATGAGTCAACTTTTAAAAGGCACAGCCAAGAAGCCAAGTAGAGAGCAGTGGCTGAAAACGGTAGAGCAAAGATGAACTTTCACAGTCTTATGGGCCTACAGAGACAAAATTTAAAGTTTGGGAGGCTAAAGGCAGCCAGGACTGGAGAATCCTAGACTATAGGAAAAAGGAAGTACACTGTCCTTGAGGAGTTTGCTTAATTATTACCAGCATGAAGTCAAGCAGAAATGTTCTCATAATGGACTCATAGTTGTCTCACAGGGTTCAGGAGGCAAAAATTGAAGTTCAGGACACAGTAAGGAAAAGAGCCTATAGTGAGCATGTGTGAATTCCATTTTGGTTTCCAGAGGGACTCAACTCAACAGTAAAGATTGACTAGAAATAGTTGAACTCTCACATTGACTGAACACCAGTTGTAAACCTGCTCAATTCCAAATTGGTTTAAAGTAGTAATCTATTATCCCTTGACTTCCTTCTCTAAAGCAAAAGTAAAGCCTGAGGAAAATAAGATTAGCAAGAGTCTCAAATTATCTCTAAAATTTTTTCACACATTTTATTAAAATTATTAGCCATGTCAGGAAATTGGACTAAAGAATCAGAAACAAGAAAAAAATTTGACAATAGAAATGTGTATGTTGTAAAATTTGAAATTATTGGGTCCAGATTTTAAAATATCAATAATCTCACCAAAGAACTCAACTCTACTTTAAAAAATGAAACTCTAGAATGTAAAGTATAATAATTAAAACATTAACTCAACAGATGGGTTTTACAGTAGATTAGAAGAAAAGGATGAGTGAAATAGAAGATTAAAAAAACAGAGAGGATAATGAGGATAAAAATTGTTAAAGAGCATAAGGGTGAGATAGAAACATGAAAATGATACAATTTGAATTCCTCCAAAACAGAGAAAGGCAAGACTAACCTTATAGTACTGACTGAGAATTTTCAAAACCATTAAAAGTCATCAATTTACATATTCATCAAGCACTTTAAAACTAAAGCAAGATAAATACAAAGAAAACTATAGCAGATTTGTAAATAACCCCAGGAAAAACATTAAATTAATAGGGAAAAAAGTCATTGCTTCATAGCAGCAATGACCTACCTGATACTGACATCGCAACAATGACGAAAGCTGAAAACAATGGAAGACATCTTTAATTTGCTGGAAGAAAACAAACAAGAAATGAAAAAGTATGTATCTACAAAAGTAAAAATAATTTTCAAAAATGAAGGTAAAACAAAAGCACTTCGGATAAACAGAACATAAGAGAATATGTCAGACCCATGCTAAAGGAAAACTTAAAGGAAATCTTAAAGCAGCAGGAAAGGGGTTTCAGAGAGAAGGATGGATAAAGAAAAATAGACAAAATTTATCCCTCACTGTTATCCACCTACTCCTATCTCCCATTGCTTGAAGGGCGTCCTTTGGGGCATTAACTCTTGGAAATTCACTTGTTCAAGGCTGAGTTTAAGAGAATGTCTAATCTTACAGCCATACACAACCGACTGTTGCAAAACAGCTGAGATCAGTGATGGCCCAAAGAAATGGAATGCAAGGCACAAAAGTCCCTGCAACACTACTACACATGAAACCGTGACACTCAACCAACTAAAATGGGATCATTCTTAGGCCTTTGAGATGAAATCTATATAGCTCTTCCTCAATACAGGAAAGCATCACTGGTTCTTCCATTTTCTCTCCTTTGTTCTCTGCTCCTAAAGGCCATAGAATGTATTCATAACTAACATAAAACCAATGTCACTTTAATGACCACATGTTGACTTGTCCAATATATTGAATGATAAATATTATTATGGAATTTGTTATTTCTTCTTAAGAGATTTCAGAGTTTGCAACTCAGGTCTTTTCTTCCTAAAGAAGTTAAGAAACTTCATGGTCCTACAAATCAGTGATAATAATGTATTTCTATTTTAATTTAAGAAAAAAACATGTAATGAACTACAAAGATTTTAGAATAAACTATACACTGGAGGCCTAAGGATCAGAACCCCTATTTCTTGGCTTCAGAAAAAGAAGTGCTGTGTACTACAGTGCTACTGCTGGAGGAGTTTCCATGGTTGTAGGGTATCTGCTCATTTAGGATTTCCTTCTGAAATTTGCCTGGATGCTGTTTGCATGACAACAGAACTTCCTACATAGACAAGAGGTAGTGAAAGGCATGTGCATTACTGAGAGAAAGCAGAGCATACCTCCCTCCATCCACTTTGCTCAAGAGAGTGCCAAGAGAAATGTTTACTCCATAACATAATCTCTAGACAGTAGAGGATGCCAGAATGAATCCAAGTCTGCCACACAGACCAGAGACAGATGTCACAATTCCCATAAAATGGAAATTAATATTTGCTTCAGTCAGAAGTACATTAAAAAAAAGAACTGTCTAAATATTTCAGATAAAAAGTTTGAGAAGTTTCCCCTGATGTAGCTAAAATGCATACTATATCCAAATTTTTCTTTCTTTTTTACCTTCAGGCATTGCTACATAAACCTGCCAGTATTATTAATGCATCTCACTCTATTATTCCTTGGCTTTACCAAATATGGGAAGATCATAGAAACAGGCCCTTAAAAGAAGGAAATGTTATTGCTCTTGAGGCATGCCTTTTTCTACTACTTAGGGTGCTGCAGGCATTCCATAAAGAAGTGTGAAAAAAAAAAAACTAGCTCCACTAAAGGCTCAGAAAATGAACAATAGAACAAAAATGCACCTTCTCAAAATCTTAAGAAATATTTTTCCCAAATATGGGACCAACAGGTGGTGTAGTGGTTAAGGTGCAGGACTGTGGTTTGAGTCCTAGACCTGGTGGCTTGAAACTCATGCCAGGTGTGTCTATGTGGGTGTGCGTGCCCAAAATCTCAACAGGAGAATGGAGGAGAAGGGGTTGCAGCATGGCCATCCCCCCAGGGGGTGAGTTCTCACTTTCTCTCTCTCCATCTCTCTCTGACTCTCTGGTGAGTGCACACATGCTGTAGCAAAAAATCTCTCCAAAAAAGAAAGAAAAAAATATTTTTCTACCCTAATGAAGAACTCCCAGAGTATGTGCTGACGGTAAGCTGAAATTTTCAGTGTTCAACAGTGACCATTATTTTGCCTCCCTAAAATATTTTTCAAAAAGAAACACCTAAATCTAACTTAAGTTTTTCATGCATCATTATTTTTCATGCTGGAAAGTCAATACAGAAACTGAAAATGATGAGTGTAGATGGATTCAGAAGTTTTACATGTGTCATTGTCACATAGATTATCATCCCGCCTGTAGATCCAGGGCTATTTGTGCACCCCTCCCATCCCATCACCCTGCAGGCTACCCTCACCCATGCTCATGTTCCACAGGGCTCTACAGCAAGTGAGACTGTTTGTCCCTATTTTTTTCATAATGGATAGCCTTTATTCACTCCTTTTATGCTTATATCACTTTGCCACGTTAATAGCACTTGAATTTATTTCTTCTTAAATTTCTTCCTTCTATTTTATTCTCCTTTCGTTTTTTTAATCAGTTTTTAAATCTATGTTAGCAAAGCTGCAGAGTCTAATATTACACAGGATTAACAAGGTGGAAAGAATATGCAGCATCCTGTAGATGAATCACCATTTTAGGGGAAATATGATGTATTAATGCTTATTTTCTTTGATGCAACAACTCCAAGTCCAAGAATTTGTAAGACTGGTGTAATTACAGGTAAGTAGCAAAATAAATAAGTAACGAAAACAACAAAAGAAAAAAAAAAACTCCATATTTTTCAAAGGAACACTAAGTTAGGGTACACCCATATAACTGAATTTTACGTAGCCATTAAAATGTGAAGATATGGGACCAGCAGGTGGTGTGGTGGTTAAAGGCGTTGAATTCCCACATGGATGATAGCAATTCGAGTCCCAAAACCAGGGGTTTGCTTTCTCACTTTCCCTTTCTCTCTGTCTCTGCCCGGTCAAATTAAAAAATAATAATAACAAATGGAATTAAATAAAAAATAATTCTTTTTTTGGAGGGGGGAAGGTTTTTGCTATAGGGCATGTGCGCTCGCCAGATAGAGAGAGACAGAGAGACAGAAAGAGAGAAATCACCCCCCACGGGGGATGGTCACGCCGAAATCCCTTCTCCTCCATTCTCCTCTCAGGATCTTGGGCATGCACGCACACGCGCCCAGCGTGAGTTTCAAGCCACCAGGTCCAGGACGTGAAACGCAGTCGACTGCATGCAACATAGCCATTACGTTAACTGCTGGTCCCTAAATAAATAATTCTTAAAAAATAAAATAAAATAAAAAGTGAAGATGGGGTAGAAGGTGGCATGGTGATTAAGGTACTAGATTCTCACAGGACTGACGATCATTTAAGTCCCAGACCTAGTGGCTTGAAAATCAGGCCAGACATGCATGCAAATGTGACCACAATCCCATGGGGAGAACAGAGGAGAAGTGATTGCAGTGAGACCATACCACTTATGGGGTAATTTCTCACTTTTCCTCTCTCTGTCTCTGTCTCTCTCTCTCTCTCTTTGGTGAGTGCACACACCCTATGGCAAACAACAACAACAAAATAAATAAGATCTATTGTGAAAACATAAAGAGACATACATACATACATAAATAAATAAATAAATAAATAAAGAAAGAAAGAAAGAAAGTGCAGAACTAAGTGCTCACTGTGTGTGCACTGCCAGGGTGCAGGTATGGACATCACACCCTGGGCTCCAGCCCCCTAGGTGGGAACTAGTGTGAATCAACTCTAATTGAAATCAATATATATAAAACCACTCTTAGATCCCACATCTACTGAAGGAACATCAGCATCTTATCCCATCTTGGATTTCCAAGTCGTCATTGGGACCTCCTGTTAGCTCATTTTCTTCAACACCTGGGGATCAAAGTATAGTTGATTTTACTGGTATAAATGTGTCCTGTGGCTTTCGACTTTCTCTGCCTTAGTGGACCTGGGTCTTTGTCAGCCCTCACCAAGATCACTGGACAGTTTCCTAGTTGTCACTGTGATTCAGTTTTCTCTCCCATAGATGAAGTTGACTGTGATCTTCCTGTTTCAGCCCTTTCAGGTCACTGGACTCCAACTTCACAGCACCATGCTTGGCCTTCAGGGTGAACAAGGATTTGAACCTGAGCTTCCCATGTAGTCTTTGTAGCACATATGCTGCCACAGTTGGACCTAAAACACCAGGTAGTGTTCCTCTGGATTGCTCTTCCACTCTCTTTTGTCCTCTGCCTTCTACCACGTCAGGCCACAAGAAGGCCCTCAGTAGATGCTGGCACCTTTCTCTTGGACTTCCCAGCCTCCAGAACTTCCCACATGGCTCATTCTATACAAGCCATTTCCCTGGTATGGTAGCTTCAAGATAATGATTATGGCAGCTGAGAAGTCCTGCCACAGGCTGACTGTAAGCTAGAAATTCTAGGATACCAGTAGTATCAGTCAGTTCAAGTCCAAAGGACTCTGAGGCAGGAAAACTGATGATGTAACTCACAGTTGGAGGCTGAAAGTCTGAGAACTTGTGGATGGCAAGGGTGCTGTTGCTGGTATAAACCCTAAAGTGCGAAGGCAGGTGAGTTCTGATGTCCAAGGCAACAGAAATGTCTACTTTGCTTTGTCTCTCCTTTTTTTAACCCAGTCACTGAGTAACTACTTTTCCTCTAGACTCTGTGCTGAGTTTTTGTGTAGTTTTTTTCTCTTTTGTCAGTCTCTCAACATTGATTTTCAAAATCCACCAAAATAAAGATAAGCAATGAAATCAGAAACACGGCAAGGTTGTTCAGTGATCTACCTATTGCTGCAATATATAACTACCTAAAATATTTTAATTCTAATATATATATATACCTTCTCCTCCATTCTCCTCTCGGGATCCTGGGCATGCATGCACATGCATGCATGCACCCAGTGTGAGTTTTAAGCCACCGGGTCCGGGACGAGAACCTGTCGACTATGTGGGAGTCCAGCGACATAGCCATTACGCTAACTACTGGTTCCCTATTCTATTATATTTTTAAGAGAGATTTTTGCCATAGGGTGTGTACACTCACTAGAGATACCGAGAGACAGAAAGTAAGAAATCACCCCCAAGCGGAGATGGCTACACCACAATTCATTTTCCTCCATTCTCCTC